AAGACCCCCTTTTCCATCAGTTGCTGCATGGACAGAAAGGCTGTAGGCTTCAACTCCTGAGAGAGATAAAAAAAGAGAGAGCGAGATATATATATATATATATAAATATATATAGAGATATATTTAACTCTGTAACATATATTTCTGATTTAACACTTATGCACTGTTGGGGTTGTAGAGAGACTGTTCACTTTAGCCGCATTCATCGTGAAACTTGCTAATTAGGGTGGCTGTGTACACACACTGCCAACACACATTTCAGTTCAAACAACTTGTAAAAGTGGATGTAGCATCCTATGACCCCTTTAAATAAGAACTACAATGCTAAAGTCTGTAGCAACTTATAATTTTAAAGTACACAACAGATTCAGAATTTACGTTTTATAGGTATGTTATAGAACAAAAACAAGAACTTGAAAAGTTATTTTCAAGTGCTAACCACAGAATAATGTAAAAATTGCTAACAAGTTGCTATAGATAAGGTTTATTACAGCTACCACAAAATGTGAGTGTATGTGCTTGATAAAGCAGTAAGGCATTTACCAACGTCTTAGTAACTTGTGTAGAACAAAACGTATCTGTAAGTAATACTAAATACAAAACTTGTTTTGTTTTTTTAGATTGATTTTTGGCATTTTGCCTTAATTTTGATGGGACAGTTAGTTGACAGGAAGCAAAGTGGGAGAGAGCGAGGGGGAGCATGATTGGGAAAGGTTCACAAGACGGGACGAGGCTATAGGTGCCGACTCCAAGTCAAAATTAACCAAAGTCTTGTTGGTTTGGAATGACATGAGGGTAGGTAAATGATGGCAGAATTTTCATTTTTGGGTGAACTTTCCCTTTACAATCACTTCTACGTGTGTTTAACCCACCTGTGATCATAATGACCCGTATACCAGCCTGTCTGCACATACGCACTGCATTCAGCACTTCCTTCCTGGGTGGATCTAACATTCCCACACAGCCTACGAATGTCAAGTCTGACTGTGAGAGACAAAAAAAAGTGTTATAAAAGTGTTAAAAAAGTTATAGCACTCAAATATACATTTTTAAATATTTTTTTGCTTCATGTACAATTCATTTCATATTAATTTGTCCTAAACTTATTCTCATGATTTCAGATTATTTATCGAACAAACGAACAAACTTGCTCACCTCATATTCTGTGAAGGCTGCAGAGTTCTCTAAATTCAGGGTTCGAGGGTCAGGGGGTGAATCTCTAGTTGCCATGGCAAGGCAGCGAAGTGTATCACGTCCTGAGGTCCACGAGCCAGGACTTGAACTCAGGACGCCCAAAGCACAACGGCGCTATATGTCAGCATGCTGCCCACAAGGCTATCGGCACCGACACAAAATTTTTTTTACTTAAAAATCTAAAATCACTATTGTAAAAACCACTATAGGACATTCCAGAGGGAACACGTAGCTTGAAATGCAGATTCTTCTCCAATCTAGGACAACAAACTGAACTGATCTATATCACACATGCACAACAATGATACAAGTGCCATTAGACATGCTTTGCTAAGTCTTTAGCCTACAGCTTGGTAACGTAACACCTTTATGGAGCCCAAATAATTACATTTGTTTGCTCAAATGTTTGTCTAGAGGCCATTGGTTGTAATGACAGCACTGTCACTATAAGAGCACTTGAGTCGTTTATCCAGGACTTTCCTGGACCATCTGTCAAAGGTGATAATGGTTGACGGTTAATTGCACCTCATGGCCCATTAGCTGCTCATAAAGGCAGGTGTGTAGTCCATGGATAGCTTTTACTGGGGTGCAGTGGTACAAACAGACCAGCAGATGTGACTCCTAACGGCTCCTATTTCCAGGCATTAATACAATTATGACCCTTTCCTGCCAAGAGCAACAAGATTACTCAGATTGAAAAGACAAAGATGCTAAAAGGGTTCTGATGGATCAAGCAAATGAAACATCCTGATATGCAAGTTACTGTAGCTTGGCGTGTCATGCTAATCATTTTTACAATTATTTTACATCCAATGCCAGTGTAAAATTCGCTCTCACGATGATAGGGTTCTTAGTGGTTGCTAAAGTGGTTAATGAGTAGTCATGTTGCTATATAGTTACTAGTCCATTTTTGAGAGTTCTGCATGATTGCTAAGCAGTTTCTAAGGAAAAAAAGAGTCCACCTCCATTTCTGAGAAGAAAAATAGATATTTTTGAGTGTTTTATTGTACTATCTATCTATCTATCTATCTATCTATTTTCAGATAATAGAAACACCTGAATAATTGAATATTGAGTTTGGTTTGGATTGTAAAATAGATTGCCATATTGGATTCAATCTACCGAAAAACTGCTTAGCATTAATCAAAGACTCTCACTGAAGCGTTTTAGCTGTCTTGTTTCACTGCCGCGAGAGTTTTTCCTCCTGATATACAGCCTGATGCTGCTGTGTTTGCTCTTGGTGTTGGCGTGGTTAATCGATGAGGGGCCGGCGGAGGGGAAAAACACTTTCTTCTCACCGTTAATCATGCGCTTAGCTCTCGCTCGAGCTTTCAATATGAGTGGACGGTTCGCATTTAAGTCAGCAACTTCTTATGTTCATCTGCTCTTCCAACAACCTCTGGCCTGCAAGGAGAGATGTTTGGTTCATCTGTCATTTATTTCCTACGTGCATGAGCTACATCTACAAATGCGAGATTATATTTTATATATAACATTTTTTATTTATATTCCCACAGGAAAGGCATTATCAGTCAGCTTATTGACAGCCTGAATATAAGTGCATGGCCACTGCCTTGAAATTCACATCAGGACATACATAATCACACAAGCATCAAAACTCTATTCAAAAACAAAATTTTACACTGTTCCATTCAATAAGTTGCCAATCCTGTCATATAAACCCTGTCGTTTGAGAGTCTAGCTTAAAATAATGAAGAAGCTACAGACATGCTATGCTTTGAAACTGGTGCTAACAGATTGTCAACCACCATGCTGATGCTAAACAGACATGCATATTCCAGCTGTTTCATATTAATACGTACTAAACATTCATTCACACTTGAGTTTAGTGTTTCGGGACACTGCAATCGCATCTTACGATCGTAACAGCAAGCAATAGTAACAGATTTCATTTGTAGCTTATTTTTAACATATAGAAATCTGTGTGACACCATCTTCTAAACAGGCACAAGATGACATTTTTAACCATAAGTTATTCATTTTTCCACAGTGAAAGAGAAAATGCAAGCCAGTCAGAACATATTTGATGTTTAAAGGTAAAGTGTGTAATTTCTGCACGACTAGTATTGCCAAACAGCATAAAATAACAACTGTTTTCAAACAGGTTTCCTAAACTTTTACTTCATCTTCCATTGGTCGAACAAACAGATGGTCCCGCCCCAAATTCAAGATACTGATCAAGCCAATACTGCTACACTGAGCAGGTCAGGATCAAATAGAGAAATGTTTTGAGAGTGAAATAGTGTTTATAATTTTCAGGGAACCGACCTACAAATGGCGTTTTTGAATCGCTGAGATACAAGAAAGTATCTGAACATCTTCAAAACAACAAAATTACACACTTCATTCTTAATAAAATATCCTATGAGAATCCTAATGAGATTTCATTGCTAGACTGCAGAAATAGAAACCAAGCAACGACGAAATGTCGCCAGGCTGGTTAGGACACGGTGCTGCGGATCATGTTTGAACATAAAAGGGGATAAACTCATACAAAAATAATAATAATTATAATAGTAATATAAAAACATAGTGTTTATATAATTTCATGTTTGTACAATTTAACTTCATTTACAAAGCCAACACTTGAAATTATATCTCCACCCCATTGACTTTGTTGGCATCGACGACCATTTTATCCTTCTGTGATGCTTTGCGAACATCTTATTTGTGAGGATCGATCCCTCTGAAGGACAAGCGATGAACAAAAAGTTTGATAGTTCCCTCTCTGTTGTGATCAGTCTTGTTTTAGAGTCTGCTGGTCCTCCTGCTTGCGTTTCTGAGCTAGAATGGCCCAGGCGGAACTCCTCAGTCTCTGAGCCTGCAGAGTTTACGAGTCAAAGGAAGCAGAAAGATGTAGAGAGATCCTCTATGAACATGGAGGTACAGGTGTTCTCTACTGTCAGCGTTTTTTGAAGGATCGTACAGTTTGTTGTGGGGGAACTGTCGGTGGGATGCAGGGTTCTTCAGGTCCAGACTCTCTTAAAAACACTGAGTCCGGCTCGGAGGAGCAGGTGGAACTCCGTTCATTCAGGATGACCTGAGAGTACATGGGCTCCAGGGGAACGGAGAGGTCCAGATACTCCTGCAAGGGAAACATACACGTTAATAAGTCAATCCCAGAATGCACTGCAATGAGAACAGTAGGGCTGCACGATAAATCGAAATGGAATCGAGATCGCGATTATCGCGAACGATTTCTTCGATTTCATAATCGCGCAATAAAATCGTCTGCGATTTTTTTGCGTAACTTGTCAGTGAACTACGGCTATGTGTAGTAAATTCTGCTCCATTTGAAAGCACGATATGATGATTTCCTGCTGATTACAGAACTGGCTTTTTAAACAAAATGCGCATGACAATCGCATTCGATTAATCGTGCAGCCCTAGAGAACAGTGAACATTTTCATCCAGGTTGGCATATGGAGCAGCATATTTGCACTTTGGACCCAAGCCTTAACAGAGTTGCTGGCCATGATGTGCAATTCACATTATTCACTTATGAGGATTCATTTTGAGTGGGATGCTGAATTAAAAGATAGCTACCTATGCAGTCTGCTGGTCTTACCTGATTGGATATCACGGACAGAGTGCGATCAAGGTCTTCTACCAGCTGTTTAAAAGTTGGCCTCTGTGTGGGAACCGCATGCCAGCAGTCTTTCATCATCAGGTATCTGGAAAAAATTAAATTGGATAATTGAGTCATTATGTGAAGACAACATGAAATAATTAATTTTTTGTATTAAATCCTACTGTGCACAATTCATCAGTGCATTTCAGTATAAAGAATAAAGTTTTAATTTCTGGTAAAATAAAGTGGAAAATATAGAATCTTTTAAACGGTATGATGCATTTTTGAGTGATTTATTTATTTAAATAACGATAATAAAAAAATACTAATTTAATTATATAATTACTTATACAATTTTCTTATTAATTATGCAGTCTGTTTCACTCAATATTTGTTTATTTTAATAATAATTAAGTAAAAATGATTATCGTTGTTTAAATACTTATCAAAATAAATGAATTACAAAGTCTGTTTCACTCAAAAATGTATTACATAATGTAAGTTAAATGCTTTTAAAAGATTTTATTTATTTTACTAAAGAAAAAGAAAAACTGTTGGAAATAAAATATTAAAATTAAAATAAAATACATATTATTACAAAAAACTAACAAACAAAAAATATATAGCATGTTTCACTTAAAAATGTGTCAAATTATGGAAGTTACATTTTTTGTGAATAAAAAGTTTTAAAGATTCTGTTGAATCAAATTAAAAGAATCATCTTGTAAGTCGCTAATTATAACATTTGAAAGGGCCATACATCTCCTGAGTGCAGGCTGAGGGTCTGTCCATGCGATGACCTTCTCGTAGCAACTTGAAGAGCTCTTCCACAGGCACTCCTGGATACGGCGAGCCCCCCAGAGTGAAGATCTCCCACAGAAGAACACCAAAAGACCATCTACAACAAGAGAACACTCAGTTAGTACCAAAACAACAGAAACAGAACTTCTATAAAATAAGAGCACTGATATGAAGATCAATGAAGTCATCTTACACGTCACTTTGATGTGTGTAAATCCTGTCAAACAAAGCCTCAGGTGCCATCCATTTGACAGGCAGCCGGCCCTGAAGAAGAAATAAAGACATACATTCACTTGTCATATATTGACTTTCGGATAATAAATAGGACTGTTTCAAGAACTGACTGCTTACATTTGTAGTCTTCTTGTAGTAATCTATGTGATGAACGTCCCGGGCCAGACCGAAGTCTGCTATCTTCATTACATTGTCCTCTGTTACAAGTACATTGCGTGCTGCCAAGTCTCTGTGGATACACTGTTGGGGAAAGCACACAGACCAAAAAATATTCATTTCAGCCCACATTTTGAAGACATTTTTTAATAAATCACAAAATACATCAACAATACCTTTTTGGATGCCAGGTACTCCATGCCACGAGCCACCTGGTAGGCACAGGAGACCAAGTCTTTAATGGACATGCTCTCCACAGGCACCTGGTCAGGATTGTAACAGTACTCCATGCCATGCGGCCGGCGGGCACGCAGATATTCCCGACCGAAGTCTGCTATCTTCATTACATTGTCCTCTGTTACAAGTACATTGCGTGCTGCCAAGTCTCTGTGGATACACTGTTGGGGAAAGCACACAGACCAAAAAATATTCATTTCAGCCCACATTTTGAAGACATTTTTTAATAAATCACAAAATACATCAACAATACCTTTTTGGATGCCAGGTACTCCATGCCACGAGCCACCTGGTAGGCACAGGAGACCAAGTCTTTAATGGACATGCTCTCCACAGGCACCTGGTCAGGATTGTAACAGTACTCCATGCCATGCGGCGGGCGGGCACGCAGATATTCCCGCAGGTTTCCTTTAGAGGCGTATTCCACGATGACATAAAGAGGGCCTGGATGAAGGAAATGAGAGTGTTTTGAGAGGGGAAATCCTTGCAGTGTGATCTAACACTGTGATTGTAAGAATCCTCAGATGGGCTCTTACCATCCTGGGTACAAGCTCCGAGCAGGTTGATGATGTTCTTGTGTTTTCCAATCATCTTCATCATCTCCATCTCTGAGATGAGGTCAGACAGGTCCTTCTCAGTGGCGTCAGCTAATGAAAACATGCAAAATGTTGATGAGGTCTGGTTCTACACGAGTAAACATCTGATAAATAACGTGGTTTGGTCTTAAAGCCCCCATGAAATCAAAATTGGAGTTTTATCACAAAGTCCATGTCTGTTGGATCTACATTCCAAAAAGTCATTTTCTAAATTTGACAGAAAATAAATACCTAAACCTTAAAACAAAGAGAACATATTGGGACAATTATTATTATTGCTAATTATATCCTTATTATTAAATATTATTGTTTAAAGGAACATATAAATATGATTATTCTAGAAATATATTTACATATATTTCCCCCCAATTCCTTATTCTTGTTTTAAGCATAAATTTAATACAATTTTGTGAGGTTTATCGTTAAAGCATATATATACATTTTTTTAAATGTACACAATTTTGCTGCTCAAGTAAATATATCTCAAGGATTTTACAGAAAACCAAGATGAAATATGAATTATGTTTAATAATATTTAATATTATTAATTTAATAATATCTATTTATTTACTTTTTTATTTATTTATTTTTTGCAGGATATGATATTGTGGTCACTCCTTCAATGTGAGTCTATGAAGTTTTTGTCGTCACTTCATCCAAAATCAGTCAGATCCCTTAGATCTTGTGTCAAACCATTTCATGGGGCCTTTAAGGCTTTTACTTTGCAAAACCACATACATTTCAGCATCTTCACAGCGACTTTAGTTATGCGGTTGGGCTTGTCTTTGTCCAGTCCAATGGCTTCGCCCATCACCACCTGCCCAAAGCAGCCCTCGCCCAGAGGTTTCCCAAGTACTAGTCTGTTACAAACAAAAACAAAATTGCAAAATGATGTCTAGGTTGACCCAATTACAGAAGAAAAGAAGCAAGAGAAGTTCAGATTTTGGATGAGCAATGTCTGTACCTCTCTCGGGGCACCTCCCAGCACGGGTCCTGGGTCAGCTCGTACTCAGACACCCCTGACAGCATTGGCGACCCGCTGGAGGAGAGTCGTGAAGGTCGGACCAACATCACACCAGAGTTCAGAGAGGAACTGGATTCCACCGACACCTGTAGAGCGATCAAGCAGAATGGGGGGTTTTAAGGGCCTTTAGAAGGATACAAGGGCCCTTCTTTGGACAGCATACATCAAAGCCCTTATCTGTTACCTGTCTGCGGAGAGGAATGCTTTTGGCCAGCTTATGGACGGCCAGCTGGCTGTTGAAGTCGCTCTTCTTGGAGGAGCTGCAGACTTTGACGATGGTGGCGATTCCTACCATGAGGACGATGAGGAAGAATCCAATGCAGTAGATCAGCACCTCCAGGTAGGACTGACTGGGGACTGCAGAGGGAGTGGTGGGGGCTTATGGGGCAAACAGAATGCTACGGTCAGTAACAAAAACTAGATTTATAAATCTTCTGAAGAATTCCTTATTTATTTTATGTAAATGTTATTTTAGCATTATTTTTTTAATTATTATAGTTTTTTATTAATATTTAAAATTAAATTTTATTGTTATATTTTCAGTTTTCATTTTAGTTTAATTTTTTTGTCATTTTGTTATGTGCTTTTGTCAGTTTTATTAGTTTTTATATTACTACTTATAGGTTTAATGTATTTTAATTTCAATATTAGTTTTAGTTAACTAAACTAACCCGGTTTCGTAAATAGTATTTTGTCTCAAAACAAGATTTTACTTGATTTACATTACAAGCTAAATTAAAAATATTACAAAAATATATTATATAAAATTAAAAAGACTTGTTTTCAACAGAAATTCTGTTTAACAGAAATTTAATTCAGAATTCTATTTATTTTAAGTATAAATATAAAAAAATATCGGTGAGGATTATATGGAAGCCAGGTTCCGCCACTGAATAAAACAAATAAAAAGGGTAATTGCGTAATTGGGTAATTGGTAATTAATCTAACAATTCTGGCATTTTTCTTGCAGTTGTGAGTTTATATCCTGCAAATATATACTCACAATTGCAAGAAAAGTAAAAATAAGTCACAATTCTGAGAAAAGAAGTCAGAATTGCAAGATGTAAACTCGTGAGAAGTCACAATTACCTTTTTTATTTTTTAGTCATTAGCAGAAACAGGCTTCCATAGGTTTATGCTTAACTTGATTCAAGATATTTTGCCTGGAAACAAACCTTATTTGACAAATTTTGCTTCTCAAGTAAATGTATCTTGCTTTGAGGACACTTATTTTTTTATTTTTAAACAAGACAAAAATACAGATATAATACTGATTCTTGCCATAGCAAACAGCACTAATAAGGCTAAATCCACTAGTACAGTGTCAACCGACATCAAGAACACCTCTGTTACAGCATTAAACAGTGCTTTGGACTGACACACACTGGTAGACGCTGGTGAAAGGCACACACACGTATCCACACATACACCCAGCTCTGTTTTATTTCAACCAGTGCATTTGACACTATTGGCACTGAGAAAAGAGCACAAGCTTCCTTTGTGGCCGCATAATGGCTCCTTTGTGGCGTAGTATTTCGCCCCACATTCTCCATTGGCGTGAGGCTGCAGTCATCCCATGCACAAGTATGAAATAAAACCATCCTGGCCAAATTGTCCTGGGAGGCCAAAGTGACACATGGCTACACCTGAATGGTTGTTATTAAATTAGAGCTTCATTCATATAGAGTTGAGTTGTTCTGCAATAGTATGCACTGGTTGAAATAAAACAAATTCTCCAACTAATTTTGTGATGCTTGATCATTAACAATTATTTTTCCCACAAGGAAACCCATATTAGTTAGTGATCAAGTTGATAATCTATCAGATTAGAGGAAGTGACATCAAGTGACAGCTGTCACAGTCACAAAACTCTGAAAATAGATGCCAATTTCATACATTAGTAAAAAAAAAAAAAAAAGTTTTAATGATGCAATGATAATGCAGCACCAAGTCACAGTAATTTCAGAATATATTCAAAGAACTATAACGCTGCTCCAGAATTATACTGGTACCTAGATCCCATTTTAAGGCATTATATTCATGCTCCACACAAAAAGTGATTCAAAAATTATTTAATCATTTTGTGGATGATTTTACTCAATATTTTTTGCAACATTTTGAGCAGAGGTTCTCAACCAGAGGGCCATGGGCGAATAGGGGGCTTAGTAAACTTCTAAGAGGCCTCGAGATGACTTTAAATGATTAATATAACACAAAACAAGCATTAAAATAAGCCCAAACAACAACAACAAAAAAGCTAATTCTTATTTTAATTCACCGCTCAATAATGTTTTTTTTTTTCTTTCGAAGACCCAGGTTTTGATACATGAGGTAGCCTATTTTAAAAAGTGACATTTCCAGGTCTAGAAATCACGTGTAAATTAATAAAGTCTTGAGCTTTAATTAATAAAACTCCATGGGCATTTTTATAATGAATATACACTTGTCTATGCCAAGCTAAAATATTTTATTGTGTAGAAATTGTGAGTAAAACATTTTTAGGAATTATAATTTTTAATCCTTATTGAGTAAATCATGAAAAACAGAAAAATCACGAAACCTCTGATTATTGTTGTGGACTAAGGGGAGTCAAAAAGGTTGAGAACCATTTGAGGAGATTATTGATTTGTCATCTTAGCAATATGCAAATCGAATCGCCATTCTGCTATTTGTGGGGCGCAGGAAGTCACAGTCTACGTCAAGCATTCCAAATAAGTCACTTGTGAGGATCAGTCACAGTTAGGATGCTGCCTTAGAAGACAACAAAGTAGCTCACTAGGTATTGGAACAGAACTTTTATGCAAAATGTTCTCATATCAGTCTGCTTACTCTCAAAATGAGCTAATTTAATCTGAATAAAGGTGACTTGATGTGCACTAACCACTCATTAAAACAACAAAGATAGCAGGTCAGAGCGAGAAAACGAGGTATTTAGAGAAAGGTAAGTAGGGGAGGTGAAACAGTGCCATAACTGGTGTCATTTGCCAGGTCAATGGGAAGTGAAAACCCCTGAGGGCACCTAAGTAAGATAATACCTATAGGGGAAGATGTCACTAAAATCCAAATGTTTGGTCTACTTGGCATGCTGGTGCCACGCATGGGTGGTTGTGCACCTGTGGACGGCCACACACGTTCCCGTGAAACACCTCGGCCTTTGTCAACGGTGCAAAATATACACCGGCTAAAGTGATAGCTGAGTAAACGCTCTTTGACTTAAACCTGGTTCACCTGAAACTGGCGAATGACACAAACAAATGGCCACTGTTGGGAGCGATGGATGAGAAGGAAAGGTCTAGAGAGGACAGGAAAGAGTTGCCGGATACCTTTGACAATGGTCAACCAAGCTGAATGATGGGAGATCCCAATTGAATTGCCCGCCAAGCAAGTATACACCCCAGCATCCTCAAAGGACACATTCCTCAACTGGAGCACCTCCATCTCCTTGTCGGTGGTGTTGAGGCCAGCCGTCTAGAAGAGAACGAGAAAAGCAGACCCGAGGCCCAAGATGTGAGGGAAAGGAGGAGGAAGCGGGACCACATTGAGCTTGGGAAATTTCGGAGAGTCGTTGCGTCTATCTGGTCACTTTAAAAACCAGTTAGATGCTCAGAAAACCACCTGAAACCTTTAGAGGGATCAAATATTGCTGCCCAGCACCATCACCTTCAATCTACCTCCACCCACATCAGGCAAGCCACATGGAGACTCTCTCCAGCAAGACCCAATCCATAGCGAGGGAGTTATCGCCATTGGTTGGGTCAACTGGGAATTTCCATGGCATCATGGGATAGGAAAACCCAAAGCATGAGAGAAACCCAAGGCTAAGACCTCTACGGAGATCACTTCAGACTATCCTTGGTCAAGTTACCTTGCATGTCATGTCTAAGGACAGTTAACCAGGCTGACTGATTGGCTTCTCCTATATAATTGGACACTTTGCATATATACTCGCCGCCCTCTTCTTCTGTGATATTGTAGAGCGTCAGCACCTGGGTGTCCGAGCTATTGACCCCCGAGTGCTGGAGATGACAAGAGACCAAATTCATCACATCGGATCCCAAACCAAGACATCCTAATATGTGTGGACCACTGATGAATCTGCTCCATGTAAGTCAGACTTAAGCAAACTGACTGCATTTCAATGTAAACCTTTACCTTTAGGATGCGTACGTAAGGGAGTCCATCAGGTCCCAATTTGCTTCCATTCACCAGTATGTGTTTGAGCCACTGAATGTGAGGCTGGGGATCGCTGAACACCTTGCAGACGAACTCTACGTCACTGCCGACCACAGCCGTTCGGTTTGCAGGAAGACCAGCGTACAGGATGGGCCTGTGAGGCGATCGCTCTGAAATATACATGTTTGTCAGATTTGGATTTAAGCGCAATATTTACTCCTAAACTGCCACTGGTTGATATTGAGAGATGACTGACCCACTACATCCAGCTGATAGGTGTGATTGATGCTTCCGTATTCGTTCTCCACAAGGCATGTGTAGTTGCCCTTGTCTGAGGGCACCACGGACTCCATGATTATGGTCCACATGTGTTCCCGCAGCTGAGAATGGAAGAAAATAAATATTCTTTAAAATGTATTCACGCAATATTTACTCCAAATACACTAAAATTAAAAACCAAATCTGCATAATCCATTCACAAATCTCTTATGTGAAATACATATATGTATTTTTGGCTTATTAATGGCTTAAAATGATTTATTTCAAATTAAAGAGACCATCATTTACCATACAGATTGTCTCTCAATGTTTAGTCCTTTTTACAATTTTTGGGCCTTGAAGGAACTGTATAATCATGAATCTTGAATCCATTTTTAAATCGGCAGCAAATCAAATGCCAAGCTCTAATCACTACGGCTAGCTATATGTAACCAGAGCGGTGATGTTTCCTGCACTTTTACATCAGGGTGAGTGTATTCAGGTGTCGGGTTCAGGGGTGTAGAGATTCAGGCTGTGATTTTGGCCTATTGTAAGCTGAGGTATCAGCTTTCGTTCACTCAGCTCAGGTGCAGAGCAAATGAGGGCTGTATGTCCCACATAACAGTGATATCAGTCAGGAACTGAAGTCTGCTCAGGTGCAAACGTACCTTGTAGCCCCCGATGCGCTGGTCTCTTTTGAACTCTTTTCCATTCTTGAGCCAGCGTAGTTTCGGCGTCGGGTTTCCCTCGGCCTGACATCGGAATTTCACCGTTTTGCTGGCCGGTACGGCATGAAGCTTTTTTTCCATCTTTTCAGGTTGGGCCCAATGAGGCACCATCGCTACAGAGGAAATATGTTATTAATAACGATGATGAACAATTCATCATTTGTTTTCCTTCCTGAAAAAGAGAGTGCATGCTTACGTAAGAGCTCCTGGCTACTTGATGGCTTGTTTTCTTCTGACGATGACTCATCGTCGTCCTCATCCTCAGAAGACGCTACTGCATGACCTGTGACAAAGTCGAAAGGATGTGTGTCAGAGAATACATTCATACAGCCGCCCATAAAGGTCAGAATATAGCATGAGTCCACAATTCATGGATGTCACAAATTCAGCAAAGCGCATGCAGATGTGGTTAGTTATTTGTCTGTTTGTCCACCTGCTAATGTCTTGGTTTACATCCAATAAGTTATAAGTGTTTGATTTTACCAGTCATGAAGCAAATAATAGCAGCAGGTTGAGAAAGGAGAGGCTTCCGATGCTTTTATTTCTGAAATTATTTATGTGTTCACAATATTCTGGTGATTTTGTATTCTTGCTTGATCTGAAAAGTGAACCAGGACAAAGTAACGCATCTGCCCTTCACAGAGCGGCGGACAGCGAGAGCGCATGAGTCACCGCAGGCTCCGCTCCAGTCGTGCCCACGCTCCCATCACACAGACGCAAACACACACACTCTAGGGAGCTGTCTAACAAATTCACCACTCAACGCCTGACACATTCCACAGCTGAAAGGAGAGAAATGGCCTCACAGTGTCTCAGTTGCTCATCTATAACAACAAAACAATCTCAAAAGGCAACTTAAACTAGTTTTTAACAATTTCAGAAGACAATACGTGGTGTTTGCCTATGCAAAACTTACCAGCGTGATACCAGGGGGTTGCTATGTGGTTGCTTTGATCATGTCTGGGTCATATTTTAACCATATTTTAAATTTAAAGGAAATAATTATCATATTTTTGGAAACAGAAAATGAAGCCTTAAGCATGAAGGTTTTTAGCATTCTAACATTATTTTCATGACAATTAAGCACATTATAATTAAGCAAATGACAGTAATGCAAAAAAAACATTTTGACTGGAATGTGAAAAAATGAATTTAAAAAATAATGATTTTAGATATTTGTAAAGTATGTATACATCAATATAGTATATGTTGTACTGCATTTAATTAATTACAAATAATTAAGAATAAATTAAAATGGAAACATTGCATGTATTTTAGGCATTACAGGAATGAAAATCCCATTTGCGAACAATAAGAATTAAAAAAACTAAATGTAAACTAAAAAGTACAATATCTGAATATTACATGGTGCACATTAGCGAAATTATATAGTTTATGCACATTTTCTTATCAAAATATGCACCTTAATTTAGCACATTTAAGTTTAATGCACATTTTGAGATTTTATGCACTTGGCATTCCCATTCATAGTTTTTTAAAGCAATATCCCAAAATTTATATAAATAATGTGGGTGGAAACATAGCTAATGCACTGTTAAAAACAATCTTTATTTGTTTAAAATATCAAGTCGAATCTCATAGATCATTAAAAAAAAAAAAAAGTTGAAATTGCTCAACTTATTTTTGTAAGTTAAAGTAATGTAAAAACAGAAGTTGCCATGACTTACTGAACATATATATATATTTTTTTTTTACAATTTGGCTGCAATCAGGCCAAAAGTGTCAAAAGATTCTCTATGATTTTCTGGTCTCTAAATATATTTCAGATTCCTCCTTCAATAGTAGTTAATATGACATTTTGTCACTTGTTTCCTTGTTTGTTTGCTTAGAAAAGTAGCAGAACAACTCTGTTTAACGAGCCAGATATAATTTATGTCCATAGCACAAACTGAGTCAATTGTGAAGAAATTTGCATTTCAAAAACAAAGCTCATCCCCTCTAAGCTCCCGCAAGACATACCTGTCACGTTAACGATGAAATAGGTAGAGTGGTTGCCGAACAAGCTCTGGACAGTGCAGGAGTAAAGCCCAGAGTCTGTCAGCTCCACTGACCCGATCTCCAGCTGGCCCCCGTTCACCCGCATGTGGTCTCCATTCAGCACTGCAGCGTGGTCTTTAGTCCAGATGACCGCTAGGCCTACGACTGGGGTCTCGTCTTGAGCCAAGCACTGCAGCACCAAACGCTCCCCGAGGAACAATGTGTACAGCTCCATTTTCACCTCTGTTCGGACTAGTGGCGGAATAGAAGACCAGCGAAGGTTTGGCAAAGGGGGTACTGGATCAAAATCCGATTTTTAAAACAACAAGTGTGAGACAAGACATGACTCTTGTCCAAAGAAAAGTGAAGAACTGCAAAACTTAAAGTTAAGGGCCATGACTAACAAAAGAGGGATGAGCAAAGCACCATGGAGAAAGAAGACTATGCAAGTGATGCCTCAAAAACTTAGAAAAATGAACGAATGAAACTATAAAAATATGGCAGAACCACCACCAACAAACGAAATAAAGAAAACTGTGAGACCACAAAATAAAAGATGAATACAAAAAAGATGAATATGGAAAATCATCTACATTTTGTGAGTCTCACGAAACCTGTCAAGATCACATTTGGCCATATTTTAACCTAAAATGAACGGAAAATAATTATTATAATTTGGACAAAGGAAATGAAGCCTTGAGCATTAATATTTTTCAATGATAACATTATTTATGACAATTAAGCACATTACACATTAAGTTTAATCTAATTACTGCAATGCAAAAAATATCTTTCTTTTGACTGGAATGTGAAAAAAATTGTTTAAATAATGATTTTAAAATATAGGAATATAATGTCTCCTCTTTGAGAATAATAAAAATTAGAATAAAAAAGGTAAAATATCTGAACATTACGAGAATAAGATTTTGATGGGAAAATGTGCTTATTTTTCATAAAAATAATGTCACAATGCACAAACCCGGAATAGTTGTATATTTTCTTAAATATACTGCAGCAAAATTTATTTATAAAATATAAATATAATAATTTCTTGTTTTCTTTAGTTTTTTTTTTTATTGTTTTTGAGCTGTAATGTGGTCTAGGCATGTTTTTGATGAGATTCACCCACAAATTCAATATTGCACACAACTCAAACACTTTGAATCTAAAACACAAGCCTGCTAGCAAGAAATGCGATACTTCCTTTACCAAACAGGGGAAGTTCTGTAGAAAAAATGAAACAGTTTAAAGATTAACCTCCAGTGGCCCATTACACTTATTAGGCCTGAGTTTCAGTACATATAAAACAAAAGGCCAAAAAAAACCTGACACCAGAACATACAGCTGTCCCATTCGAAGAGACCCCCCACCAACCTGAAGTCACCTTAATTGTCAAACAAACTAATCCGTCCCTTTTGTCCTCCGCAGTGTTTCCTGACAATGCGAGCGGATCCGTAAGAGACGGAAGGGGGAAAGAGAGCGCGTTTGGAGAGACGGAGAAGAGCATGTAACAGCAGGTTCCTCGGCTAGTTGTCATGGAGATCTCACTTGAGCCAAGTGGAGGTATTTCCTGGATCACAGGCCCCTTAATCCCGGCAGGGACGAGAGGGGGTTGGGATCAACTTTCCCTTCAGCCAATTTAACAAAAAAAGCAGGGAGAGCAGGAAACGCTGAGGCTGAGGGAGATGCTGGTCTTGAAAATAAAATGGATATCCTTCCATTCCCTTTATTTCCAATCATTCCCGTCACTTACTGGAGAAGAAACATGACGCGCACCCCTAAACCTCACATTTACAAGAAAAACCTCACTTATAACTGCAGTTAATAGGGCTGACAACTCCCAGCATGCCCTTTGATGCCTTTATACTCAAATTAAATGCCTGGCTGTGACTATTGTTGCAATAAATCCAGATAAGTTACTTTTAGAGGGGTCTAGCATTTAATAATTCTTCATAGAAAAGTGGTTTTGCTTTAAGTGGCAAAAAAAAGACAAAAATGTCCATAAAAAAACCATCAATGTTACCCTGCCTTTTATAAGCCCAACAATATGCAACATTAGGAGTTTGCTTTCTAAATTGCTCTTGAAATTCAATTGTTTCAGTGGCTGAACTGGTATTTAATAGTCTGGGTAGTACTTTTTTACTTTGTGTATGGTTTTTGAGGATGACGACATGTCAAGGAGCACGTCTTTGTTAGCATGTGCCTAATTAGCTAGCTTCTACCAAGCTCTGAACTAATTTGAAGCAAAATAATGTAGCATTTGATTTGTGCAAAAGTTTGGGGTTAGTAAGATTTTTAGTAAGAAGTCTCTCATAGTCACCAATGCTACATTTTTTAGCTGCGTTTCCATTACCCTTAAAATTCTGCAAACTGAAATAGCAAATTGAAAATACGTCCAATGGAAACACATCAACCTTCTGAAAAAACTATATAACGCAAAAAAAGTTTTACGCTCGTATGTGGTGGAATAAGGAATATTGCGCAAAACTGCAATGGAAACAGTTTTTTCGCATTTACAGGTTACCTGGTGTACATACAAGTCACATGATCATTCTTTAATGTACTATAATATTTCTTTGCCATTAACGCTTGGATAACCCCTTATTTACACTGCATTACGGCTCCTACACGGCCACCGGAGCGATTCAGAAGCATCCCAGAAGTGGCTCTCCGCACTCCTCTAAAGACACACATCTACAACTCCTTTGATTAAAAATAATGGCGAGTGCGGTGGCTGCGATATACGTGTACCTACCAACGTCACAGTCACTATATCGCGAGAGGAAAATATTACATTTTAGTCGCATAACATGGGTGAATGGAAACAGCGTCATTTCACAATAGTTTTTTTATCAACATTTATAAAATATCGCAAAAGTTTTGCGCAAATCTCTAATGGAAATGTTTTCAGGATTATTTGATGAATACAAAGTTCAGAAGAACAGCATGTATTTGAAACAGGAATGTTTTGTCAAATTACAAATGTTACTCTCACTTTTTATCAATTTAATTCATCCTTGCTGATTAAAAGTATTAATTTCTTAAAAAAATAAAATAAAATAAATCTTACTGACCAAATTTTTTTTTAACAGTAGTGCATGACTAGTTGCCATTTATTATTTGCATATATTATTTGTTTTTTTCTAGGCAATCCCATGCACACTTTCTTCCAAAACGGTTCACGTGGAGAATGTCCAGTTGGAATATCATACAAAGCTATTACACAGGCTTCAACTAAAAGGAGCTTTTTGCACATAAAACAGCACTGTGAATAAAAATGCAGTCAAATTTGATTCTCAACATGCAGAAATTCGAACCATTCCTCCGGTAAAATTTGAAGCAGTCGTCAACAAGGGGAGGAGCGCACCTCCTAAACAGCTGAATTGGAAGCACATTTTGTTTACAGAAGAAATTCTGTGGAAAAAACACTTGTTTATGACTGCTACAAAACAATCGAACTAAATTAAAACTCTTAAAATTTTCCACTAAACAGAAAGAATCTCAATATGCTCCTACATCATTCTTCCCAGTCTGACCGACCCAAAAACACAAGCATGATTTCATCAGCGAGCCGTACCAACGCACATCTGTGTGCTCGGATTCAGACCGCTCCAGACTGGCTTCTTGGAGAAGCAGGAGAGAATGTGTTTTCTCAGAGGGAGGTGGAGGCCTGACCCATTTGTCTTGGTCAGGCAGTCCAAGCTGAAGTGGACAACATCTGTTATCTCCTCGTTATTTATCCGCAACATTTTTAAAAGCCTAAAAGTCATTGCATTTCAGATCATTACGAGCCTTTTAATGAACTAAAGCTTCAATAAAACAAGCCTCGAATCCTTATAGCTGTCCGTCTCTCCGACCAGGATAGGTGCTAAGCTCTGGACTTGGCTGGGAATCAGTAGAGGAAGTCATAGCCTGGATGGATTGCTGCTGGGATTTCCTGCCTGTCTAGTAATTGTGCTGGGCACCGAGTCACTACAACTAGTGTTGTTTTTGGCGGCCTGTTTTAATTTTATATTATGGCGTTAACGCATTAATTGATTAACACCGACAATTATTTTATCGCGCATCAATGCTGTTTTTTTATTATTATGAAAGTCCGTTGCTCACTGGCTCTGAATACACATAGGTCACAGGAGGGGTGGGATGGTGATCAGTACTGGCTTGGGATGGGCGTCATTACGCGTCTTAACCAATGAATGAGAGCATTTGGGGTGGGCCTACTGCAGCAGCGCTCACACATGAACGCTCCCGATAAAATTATTTAGGCTAAGCATCAACATTC